AAACAATTCCCAATCATGGTCCTTGCGAATTGGATCATCCAGGATGTGTGATGTATATGCCATTCTGAAGTGATCTATTAATCGACTAATAAATCATTTCATGGCAGTTCCGTCTATCGCCTTATTGTGAAAGACTAGATTAGCCCGTTCTTCTATTCTTTTCCCTGGCGCAGCTGGGCCATCCTGGACCTGAACCAGAGACCTCGCCCGTGAAGTAAATCATCGCACCTACGGCCCAACCAATTAGAAGAGAATTCTTTTTGAGTGTATCCTTTAGCAACTAATCTGGCCTTGTATCTTTTGACATTGCCTTTAGGATCACGCTTGGTTTTAAAAACCCATTTGCATCCAACAGTTGTGGCTCCCTTAAGCAATTCTACAAGATCCCAGACATTGTTGTCTTTCATGGATTTTAACTCATCTTTCATGGCATTTAACCATTTAGAGCATTTCTATTTTTCATGGCTTGGGCATAAGAAACAGGATCGTTCTCCAAGCCTATATCACACTCATTTAGTTAAACCTCATAGTCATCTGATATGGCTGGGTTCTTTTCTCTTTGTGATCTGCGTAAAGGTTGTTCTGCAACTGGGACAACCTCTTTTCCAATGTGAGAAATCTCTTGTGTACCAATAGGTTCAGGTACTACATTTTCTTGGATAATCGTGGAAGGCGTAAAATCACGATTTTCCTCCAAAGAAATATTTTTGAGATTCATACTCCCACTAATGTTTTCATCCTCTAAGAACACAGCATTTCTAGTTTCAACAATTCTTGTGCTATGAGTGGGACAATAGAATCTAAAACCCTTTGATCTCTCAGGATATCCAATGAAATAATAACTTATAGTTCTAGGGTCTAATTTCTTTATTTGTGGGTTGAAAATTTTTGCTTCAGTAGGACAACCCCATACATGTAAATAATTCAAATTAGGTTTCCTACCAACCCACAACTCATAAGGAGTTATAGACACAGCCTTACTAGGAACCCTATTAAGAACATGTACAGCAATTTTTAAAGCTTCACCCCACAAGTAATCTGGCAAAGAAGAGTTACTCATCATGCTTCTCATCATGTCCAAAAGAGTACAGTTTCGTCGCTCAGCTACACAACTTTGCTCAGGTATACTAGGCATTGTGTGGTTAGCAACAATACCATTCTCAGCCAAAAATAAAGCAAAAGCACTTGGATTTTGACCCGACTTAGTGAATCTACCATAATATTCACCACCTCTATCAGATCTTACACTTTTAATCTGTCTGCCAAGTTGATTTTCAACTTCAACTTTATAGAGTTTGAACATATCCAGCTTCTGATTTTTCACGAATAAGATATACATAAGTATACCTAGAAAAGTCATCAATAAAAGTAATAAAATATTTATGTCCAGAAATAGTTGGAACAGTAAAGGGACTACATATATCAATATGAATTGTGTCTAATAATTCAGTAGTCTTAGTAGCACTCTTTTTCTTTGTCTTTGTGTATTTTCCTTTAATGCAATTCACACAAGTACTAAAATCAGAAAAATCAAGTGAACTTAAAATTCTGTCTTTAATAAGACATTCCATCATTTCTCTTGATATGTGACTCAAGCGCTTATGCCACAACATTGATGAATTTTCATTTACTCGCTTTCTCTTTTTATTTACCAAGTCGTTTACATTAAAGGATAAAAGAGATTGTGCATATGTGGAATCTAAATTCAATGAATAAAGATTACCATATAAAGTACCAGAACCAATCATATGAGAATTGTGGAATAAAGAGACTCTATTATTTCCAAACTTAAATTCATAACCACAGGAATCAAGTTGTGAAATAGAAATTAGGTTTCTAGTAAAAACAGGAACATAGACTGTGTTTACTAAATCTAAAATGAAACCAGAGTCTAAAATTAGACGGAGGGTGCCAATAGCCTCAACGTCCACTTCTATTCCATTCCCAACCGTAATGGTTCGTTCTCCTTTATTTAGTTTCCTACTTGTAAGGTATCCCTGCATGGAATTTGTTATGTGAATACTTGCACCAATGTCAATCCACCAAAAATTTGGTGGAACATCTACCAAAAGGGATTCATAAGACACAAAGCATTGAGTGTTACCTTTCTTGTCCAACCAACTTTTAAAACCTGGACAATCCTTCCTTATGTGACCTCTCTTTTGACAGAAATGGCATCGAATCTTATTTTCTTCAATAGCCTTGTGAGTTTCATCATTTGCATTCTTCTTCTTCTTACTTTTGCCTTTCTTGAAAATCTTTTTGGTTGGACCCAAGGTGGTAAGGTGAGCCATATCAGGCTTTTCAGCTTTAAGTCTCTCTTCTTCTTAAACACACATGGCAATTAACTCGCTCATTTTCCACTTATCTTTCTGCGTATTATAATTGATCTTAAAATGACCAAATTGCGCAGGAAGAGAAGTCATAATGAAATGAACAAGAACACCTTCAGAAATTTCCATGTCCATTCCATTTAACTGAGAGGCCATGTCATTCATCTTTAAGATATGTTCACGAACACCACTCAAACCATCATATTTCATTGTCATCATTTTAATCATGAGAGTACTAGCAAGGGATTTGGAAGTTTCAATGAATTGTTCTTCAATAGATTTCATATAGCTCACTGCACTTTCAGAAACAGAGATTGCTCCTTGAATTGCAGGCGTAATTAAGTCTTTCATAATCATTAGACTTAAGCGATTAGAGCGTTCTCATTTTTCATATAAAGCCATGTGTTCCTTAGAACTTGTATCGTTAGGCTTTGTAGGAGCTGGCTCTTTTAATGCATAGTCTAAATCCATAATTCCCAAAACAATTCCAATTTGTTCCTTCCATTTCTTAAAATTTGTTCCTTCCATTTCTTAAAATTAGTTCTACTCAAAGCTTCAATTCCAGACAAGTAACTATTAATTGCAGTAGGATTCAATGCTGCAAACACATAATATCCATTATATAATGTAATCAAGAAAACTATTTTTCACATCTCATAAAAATAATACCACAAGTTAAATATATCTAACTATAAAACATAATTAGTTAGATACGAAATCAAGTTATCCTTTCGTTGGACCGAATAACAATATATTTTAACAATTCATAAAAATAAATGAGATGACTAATAAAAATAAACAACATAAAATAAAATAAAATAATCATTAAGACCGTAACGAGTTTATCACCGTTGGGCAAAAAAACTCAATGTCTCTTATTTTATTTTATTAACTAAAGCATGTGAGAAGTTTATCACCGTTGGGCAGAAAAATTTATTGCTATATTTATTATACTAATCATCTCGGTTGTTCAAACATACATAGTGTTGAACCTCCGTTGGGCTGATCAACAATGTTTCAGCTCATAAGGTGTGTAACAAAATATTATAAGTGCATAAAACATTATCTTAATTACCACTTGCTCAATAATTTTCAATTTTTATTTTAATATCAATAGAATAAAGAATTGGCCAAAAATAAAAATAAAAATTTGGACAAGTTTAAATCAAGGTTTTGCACTTGTTACACAAAACATCATCATAAAATGAAATTCATACTTATACGTTTCATGCATAAGAATTGAGAACCATGCTCTGATACCAATTGATAGAAAACTTTGCGGAATATAAACCAAAAACCATTAAGGATTCAATTCTATACATGAAAACTATATGAATTTCTACTATACAAAATAAGTGAATACATACATTGATCCATGATAGTATGAAATCCTCTTGTAAGAAAGAAAAACCTTGAATAGAAGATCTTGATCTTTAAGTTATTTACTTGTCCAAGATCTTCAAACCACTTTTCTCTCTCTAGGCGATGGGTGCCTTCTTGTGGTGACAACTTGAGTTTTGATGATGAGTGTGGTTTGGAACCTTACACTATTTATACTGTATTCTTCCCATCAAATAATCCATTCATTCAATGAACTTCATTAAATAGATTAATGTATCTTATACATTCATGATACATAATGCATCTTCTATATTAATGAATTCATTAGATAGATTAATGTATCTTACATATTCATAATAGATACATAATGCATCTCTAAGATTCATTCATAATGAATCTATCACATTCAATGCATTAACATTAATCTTCTATACATTGTATATATAGGTGCATCCATCAATGGTTAGTCACCATCTAATTGATGTACATCTATCTTTCTTAATGAGATGAATCTAGTATAATCGTACATAAGCCACATTAAGTCATATTTAGGAAAAATTCTTACAGTATAAACTCCTAAATCAAAATAAGTTAGAGCATCTCCAATCCACCCTCTATAACTTCATATTTGAAAGATTTGTTCCTTCAACCCATCCTCTAAATCCATCTCTATTTAGAAGGAGGATGGGTTGATCCTCTATATTTAGAGAGATGATGAAAAATAGAGGATTCTCTCTAAAATACTATTCATTTTATATTTTTTATTATATTACAAATAACTTTTAATATGTAAATTTAATTTTTATAAAATTGGTATCATTAAAAAGAGTGAAATTATACCTTTAAAATGAGTATAATATTAAATATATTTTACAAAAATTTCAAAATTAAATATTTGTTAATGAACAAAAATTATTTACTTTTTGATGAAAATATTTTCGAGAGAAATCTTTAGAGAAGAAAATGATTATTAATGTTTTTAAAAAAATGCTCAACAAGTTAAAAAAATAAAAAAAATAAAAAATTACGGTAGATAACACCTATCCGAGAGAAAATGAAAGTTTGTGATTGGAATTTAAATAAATAATGACATATTCTATATTTATTTTTTAAATAAAAAATATTATTTTCATCCTCTTAATGAGAGAATTGGGTTGGAGATCTCCTATAATCACATTCTAAAAGTTGTAACAAACAGTTCCAATGTGAGACTTTTAATAAAATTTTTAGTAAATGTTTATGATTGATGTCTAGCATATTTCATTAATTAAACCGATTATTTCATTAATTAAACCGATCAACTGTAATAAAATGCTAAACAGAATTTTATCTGTGCGTTGGATTTAATAAGTTTTGGAATCCGAAAAGAGGAGAGAGAGACAGACAGAAGAGAGAGAGCCTTCGGACATTTGAGAGAGAGAGAGAGAGAGAAACGGTGTGGAAAAGCGAAGGATCTGAGTGATGGAGGCCTGATAGATTAGAAGGTGAGAGTGCTCACACTTCTGATCTCGACTCTGATTTCATTTTCTATATCTATATATATATACGTGTATGTATTTACATGTTTGTGTGTATTTGAATGGCTGAATCCCTATGGAGCTTTCCCAAAGTGTTAGCTTTTTCTTTCTGATTTTTCAAGCTTTCTTCTGTAGATTGTTCTTCAACTCTGCCCAGAAATGTGTATAAAAATTTGTGTTCAAGTTCTCTCTCTGATTGTTTAGTCAAAACTGATGAACAAGAATCTCGGTTTTTTTTTTTCCTTCAGTTTTTTTTTTTTTTTTCTCTTGACTATACAGGAAAATTGGTTGGTAATTTGAGCTGGGTAATTTTTTTGTGTACTCTTTATTGTGAAATTCATGGAGTTATTGGGTTTTTTATGAGTTTAGGCTGAGTTTTGGTATTTTTGTTTGAAATTTCTGTTGTGGGTCTTTTTTACTAAATTTACATTTTATGATCTGATTGTTAAATGCATGACTTTTGGTTTGTTTTGTCAAAGTCTCTATATTTGGATCTCTTCCACTTAACTCTGAAGGGCAACAAGTGAAATTGTATTTCTGATCGCTGAACATTGTTATATGTGTGCATATTTATGTATATTTTCTTCAGATATGTATAGATTTCTCTCTCCCACTTGAATTATGTGTGTAATCAAACTTCAATTGGGTATTTCCAATTTTCTTTAAATTTTCAATCATGAATCCCCTTCCCAGCCCTTTGCTGTCTCCTTCTTTCACATCTTTGCTTGCTGTTTTGGAATGGTGTGGTGGCTGCTCTGCTCTCGCCTCTAGGAAAATTTTACTCTTTTTTTTTAGTTTTTTTGTTGTTGCATTTTGAAATTCAGAGGGGTAAAATGCAAATGAGTTATAGTTTAAAGGGATTTATTGTAATTTATCCTCTTTTTTTTTTTGGGGGGGGGGAGGGGAATTTACTACCTGTGGCCTATGCTTCCTTTGTGGTGGTCTTTTTAGATTTTCTATCATAATCGGTTTTGGATAAATAGTACATAGGTGTTACATTAACAACATTGAAGTGTCAAAATGGCGCGATCTGTGGAACTTTGATCATTTTACAGTTTGGCAAACTTTATTCCCAAACTACAGGAATACGTGATTAACTATCAAAATTTTCTTTTTTCTTAAAAATTGTTATGGCTAACAAATTTTTTTACTTGAATGTGAACACTTGGAGACAAATAAATTCCAAAAGGTAGTTCATAGTGTTCTGCGTTAAATAAAAAAATGTGATTAGGAATAAAATTTTGAATTTAAAAGAAAAAACATATATATAAGAGTTAAAAGGCCCGCGGTCCATTTATTCTGGTAGTAGGCTCTGCTTTTAAGTACATGTGAAGTTTGCTTTTGTAGGAATCTTCCTTTCTTTCATTTTTGTTTTTTACCTCATCCATCGTTGTCTATTCTTTTCCTTGTTCACTAAGCTTCGTAGACAAAATTTTGAACTAAATCGTTTGTTGTTATGCAGTTATCTATGCATACAAATGTTGTTGATCTTTAGTCGCCATTTGGCTTAAGTGGAAGCTGTGGAATAAATATTTTATGCAAACATACTGGGAAAAAGTATCTATAAACATTCTGTTTGGTTTCAAACGGACTAGAGTATATGTCATTCCGCAGTATAGTCCGTGATGTAAGGGATGGCTTTGGAAGCTTATCAAGGCGGAGTTTTGAGGTGAGGCTACCTGGACATCACAGGGGAAAATCTCATAGCGCGGTCCATGAGTTGCATGACCAGCCTCCGGTCATCCAGAATAGCTGTTGGGCTAGCCTCCCGCCAGAGCTTCTTCGTGATGTGATTAAGAGGTTAGAGGCAAGTGAGAATGGTTGGCCTGCTCGCAAACATGTTGTTGCCTGTGCTGCTGTGTGCAGGTCATGGAGGGAAATGTGCAAAGAAATTGTCGAAAGCCCCGAGTTTTCAGGGAAAATTACCTTTCCAGTCTCCCTGAAGCAGGTGGGTTTTATTTTCTCTCGTCTTGCTTTGGTTTTTAATATTGCTTAGCTACTTTCTAAATTCACCTATAATGTTCCTTAAAAATGAATCATTCTTATGACATTTTGATTAATACAAATATAGAATTAATGAATATGAATAAATTTTCTGCCAAAGCTGCATGACATTTCTGATTTATTTCTCTTTTACAGCCAGGGCATCGAGATGGAACCATTCAGTGCTTCATTAAGAGAGACAAAGCGAATTTAACTTACCGCCTTTTCCTTTGCCTTAGCCCTGGTAAGGAAGGATTTCTTATAACCATTTAATTGCTACTAGTTTGTGAACTTTGGTTTGTTATGCATGACCTGCCCCATGGAGATCAATGGTCATCTTAAATTGAGTGTTATCAACTTCCGTATTTTTCTTTATTTAATGATGTCTTGGAGTTGGGCAAAAGTACAATCATTTGGTTCATAATTTTGTAATATTTGCATTGGGTAAGATTTGTTGAACTGAGCTTACTAAGGCAATGTCAACATGGCATAATGCAGCTCATGCTTCTTTTGGCTTCAAGCATCTATTTTGAAACATAGATGCATCTTATCCTCCTTGTTTAGCCTAGAACTAGTTGCTCTTTCTGATATGTGTGACAAAACTTGCTCCTCTGTGGGACAAAAATCCCAGCATTGTTGTTCTGAATCCAACATTGGTTTGTGGAAATCCTGGAACTCATGAATGCAACAGCAAGAGGTTCAATCAGCGTATTAATGAGACCACAATGAAACAGCAGAGCAGACCATATCTTTTGCATCTGGTCTTATTTAAATATGTAATGCAGCTCTGTCAGAGTATTGTTGTAACCCTTTATTTTTTACTGAGTCACTCAGCTCCTACTCCTCATCTATGTGGTTACTATTGAAATATAATTGATTCTGAATTTATCTGTTGGAAACTTCCCAGTTTTCTCTACAAGCCAACTATGCATTTGTTAATTGTTTTGACTAAACCAGCACCAGGGATTGAGGTCTGTGTTCTGATTGTCCACATTATAGCTTCCAAGTGTTACCTACTGAACATAGTTGCCCAATTTTCTCTTTTTGTGCTGGAATTGTATGCAATTCTACTAGTGTGCTTGCTAGAATTTCATTTTGACCAACTGGCCTTGTTATGCAATTAGCTCAGCTGTAATTGTTGCCACTGCTTTGAGAGGAACAATCTATTTATTCAATTTCTATGTATATGTGTAGCAAATCATGCATGTTCTATCTCAGACGGGGTGAGTTGAGTAAGCCAAACAAAACCGAACATTTATATTAGCTAAATAAACATAAAGTTCAATTAGGTGATAATTCAGTAGCCTTGACTTCTCATAGTCCAGTGCTAGGGTTAATCCAGTTGTTGCACTTGACCTTGCTGGACTCAAAACTGTCTCTCAAACAATAGCCTTCAATTTATTTTTCCTGCCTTTGTCATTTGTTTCCTAATATTCTTTTGTGATTCAATGCTTTGCTTTTGCAGCCTTGCTTGTTGAAAATGGGAAATTTCTTCTTTCTGCAAAACGGAGTCGGCGAACTACTTGCACAGAGTATGTGATTTCCATGGATGCAGATAACATATCAAGATCAAGCAGCACTTACATAGGAAAACTAAGGTAAGCGTGCAATTTAAGAACTGCTCAATCTTGGGGGTGCTAAAGTCTTCATAATTATGGTTGACATACATTTGATTGCCAAATCTCTTTTCTAGGAATCTACTTATTTCCATTACGGTTAACTGCTATTTTTTATTAATGATGTTTATATATATATATATATATTTGTGTGTGTATTGTATTAATCTATACGAGCACACTAGTGGATGGCTTTTCTAGCAAAGGTACATTTAAATTTTAAAACTAGTACTCCCTTTTAAAATATGTTACTGCTCCTGATAGCTCTTGAGAACTAGAAAGGGTAATAATTGAATGAGAGAAAGGGCGTTTTTATTTTATTTATTTATTTATTTTCTTTATTTCTTGAGGGTGGTAGGCAATGGACAAGAGAAGGGAAATTAGTGGAACTCTCTTATTCTCTGGGTTCACTACATTAATTTATTCCATGGATATCTCTGCTGGCATCCACTTAACAAAATAAATGGTTTTTTGGATCATGGAGTTGCATTTTTGTGGTCCCAAATCCCACTTGGGTTTTCTTAACACACGTGTGGCAGATTAATCCTAAGATGTTAATACAAAGTTTACTTGAATCCAAAATTTCATGAACTTCTTATAATTTTTCAGAAAAGAGTTGGCTCCAGGTTTTGTAGCCTAAGAGTTCAGACATAAATGGGTGTTTTATATTTAAGAGGTGGTACTTCCTGATTATGTTACTGTATATTTTGTATGTCGAAATATTTGCCTTCTGTCTAAGGGTTTGAAGAAAAAATTTAATAAAGTTCATTTATATTATGCACAGCGTGCTCGAATTTAAATGTGGAAATAAATTGCCGCTTTACGGTGTTCTTCAGTATGAGTTATACAGACAATTTGTTAATAGTTATGTGTTTTAGATATACATGTATACATATATATATATATATAGATATACATGTATATATATATATATATATATATACTTTTTAAGCAATAAAGAAGACGTTCGAATGGACCATGATTCGGTTCAACTAAGCCGATCCTAAAATTTTAATATATAATTTTTAAATTAGTTAATCTTGTATTTATCATTGCACATTTGGTTGATATATGCCCTTCAGATTTATATATTTCCCTTGTAACAGGTCAAATTTCCTTGGCACAAAATTCATAATTTATGACACACAGCAGCCATACAATAGTGCTCATCTTTCCCCGCCTGGGTGTACAAGCCGTAGGTTCCACTCAAAAAAAGTTTCTCCCAAAGTCCCTTCAGGCAGCTACAACATCGCCCAAGTCACATATGAACTGAATGTGCTAGGCACAAGAGGTCCACGCAAAATGCATTGCATCATGCATTCAATCCCTGCTTCAGCCCTTGAGCCAGGTGGCACTGTCCCGGGCCAACCTGAGCTCCTTCCTCGCTCCCTTGAAGACTCATTCAGGAGTATCTCGTTCTCGAAATCAATTGACAACCACTCAACCGAGTTCAGTAGCTCCCGATTTTCGGACATTGTTGGTCCATGTGAGGAAGGAGAGGAAGGAAAAGACAGACCTTTAGTTCTTCGAAACAAGGCACCAAGGTGGCACGAGCAGTTGCAGTGTTGGTGCCTTAACTTCCGGGGGAGAGTTACAGTTGCGTCTGTCAAGAATTTCCAATTGATTGCTGCCACACAGCCTGTTGCCGGTGCACCAACACCGTCTCAGCCAGCCCAATCTGACCATGACAAAACTATCTTGCAGTTCGGTAAGGTTGGCAAAGATATGTTTACTATGGATTATCGCTATCCTTTATCTGCATTCCAGGCTTTTGCTATCTGTTTGAGCAGCTTTGACACCAAACTGGCATGTGAATAAAAGAAAGAAATAGAACACTTAGTTGGTAATGGGGTTTTTCCTTTTTTTTTTTGAGTCCTATGGAGTTGCATAGGATGGGAAATTTGTATGCAGTAAGTGCACAATTCAAAATCAGACGGGAAGGTGCCAGAACAATATCTTCGCACATTGGAATGGGGCTTTTCTCTTCTTTTTTTTGTCGTTATTGTTTTTTTTTTTTCCTCTCTCTCTTCCCTGTTGTTTTTTGTTTTTTTACTCTCTTTTTCCTCATGTTTGTTTGCTTGGATGGTTCAGCTGTCCATGTCGTGTATTTTATCTTTAATGTTCTTCACGGGTTGAATTACCTTAGAAACTTCAGAAAGATGTGAGCATTTGTATTATTGTATCTGCCTTTGATTTTTCATGTCTTACAGCCTAAGAATGGACTAATGTTTTGTTTGGAGGTCGTGGTGGGACTTTGAAGTGGGTGTAGCCTCTTGGATGCTGTTGTTACTGAACGGTCTGAGTGAATCATCTTCGACCACATATTGCAAGTGGAGTAAGGAAACATTTTCTTTATGGTTTGGGTTTCTGTCTAGTAGGGTTTATCATGGTACAGTTTAAATAATTTGAACCGTTTAATGGGTAGAACTCGTTGAGTATTATATATTTATAAAAAATTACGGTGATCGGATATAGATAGTTATCTCATTTGATTAGATTTATGTTAATCGTTTGTTTTTTTACTGTATTTTTTTTATACAAAATTAATTTGATCATGTAACTATCGATATTCGATTGTGATTTTTTATAAGCATTTAGTAATCGTTTTACACGTTGAACGGTTTAGATTATTAAAAAAAAAAATTTGTGGTGGGTTTTTGCGGGATTCAACAGTAATTTCTGGAGAGAAGCAAGCCCTTTCTTTATTATTGTCAAATTTTTCTGTATGAAAAAGGCTTCTGCTCAGTGCATAAAGATTCTGCGCACACGTGAGTTAGTAGGTAGGTTTTGCTGAAGTGATATACGGCTCGTTTGGTTTGATTTTCTGAAAAAATTTAGGGAAATTTTCTCTACAAATAAGTTTTCAAAAATAATCAAACCAAACAAATTTTTTCAAAAAAAATTCTCAAAACTTGTAAACCAAACAAGTTTTCCAAACAAATCTCTCTCTCTCACATATCAAATCAATCACTTTTTTCAAAACTCTATCTCAAAATAATTTTTCAAAACATCTTTCAAAAAAAACTAAACCAAACATGTTTTCGTACTTTTTATCTCTAAAACACATCTCTCAAACACAAACCAAACATATCCATAACTTTTTTTTTCCCGTCTTGTTTTTTTTTGTTTTTTTAAACGAAAGAGAGATAGTACTTAGATAGCTTTATTCCTCATTTTTTTGTGGAGAGGTCGATTGTACTTGAAATAGCTTTAAATGCTGGAAGAGTTATTTGGATAATTTAAATATGTGTATATTTTTATTTTTTTATAAAAAGATATGTAAAAAAATAAAAAAGTGATGCGATTTAAAAAAGATAAATAAGTATATTTTTTTAGCTCTTAAATTGAGCATGAGTTTCAAATTGTTTAGAATGATCTAATTGAGTATATTTTTTTATTTTTTATAAAAATATTTGTAGAAAAATAAAGAGTAATGTGATTTAAAAAAAATAAAAATATAAATAAGTATACTTTTTTTAGTTCATATCAAATAAGTTTTTAAATTGAGTTTGAGCTTGATTAGGGCTTAAGAGTGCAGTCATGAGCTTGATGAGGGTTTAGCATTGTGGTGGTTAAGTTGGATATGTATACATGAATGTTTGTAAATTAGCTTCCACACAGGCCATATGTGGCATGTTCATGCCCTAATAAAGATAAGACGCATTGAATTTTTACACTCAAATATACGAGCAAGGATCCTCTAGAGTTTTTTTTTTTAAAGTTTCCTAAAGTGGTACATTGTGTAGTTGAGATTTAATGACAAGTCACATCAATTTTTCAGCATTAAATCTCAATCACACAATACACCACTTTAGGAAATTTTAGGAAAAAAATACTCTAGAGGATCCTTGGTGCAAATATACAATCATGGAGAAAGCACATACGGGGAATTCACACGCTCGCTATGCTTTGTGTACGAATGTGTGTTTTGGTTGCAAAAATGAGCGTGTTTGTCTATCGTTATTAGGTCATGCCTTGGTCTGCATTAATTTTACATTGAGACTTCAACATGTATTGTTAGAACAATTTTCTGTGTAAATAAAATAACTTGAAATAAATTCAATTAAAATAAATAAATAACATACCGAATTTATTTATCGAACCGAATTAAAATTAAAACCAAGTCGAGTGTGTGACACTCTGTCCTTAAGACAGATTCGCCCCGCTACGATGCTTACGGTTATGTGGCGTCTATCTTCCAAGATACAATGATCTTCACAAATTTGTAGTAGCACTTCAAACAAATTTGTTCGACGAACCAGAACCTCGTGTTCTATAATTCTCTGAATTTTTTTCTAAAATAATATGAAGAATAAAGGACACAAGAGAGCAAAATGAAAGCAAGGAAAATGAATTTTCGAAATCTCTCAAAATTGGAATGGGGCTACCTTTATATAGGCTTTGTTGGCACCTATTCAATTTGAATAGAAAAGTATGAAGAAGGGACATACCCCTTCCTTTAAAATAAAGAGACACCATAAAAGGTTTGCACCTTTCATTCAATGGAAGTTTGACCCTTCCTTTAAAACAAAAAGACACCATGAAATATTACATCCTTTCATTCAAAATGGAGTCTATTTCAATTCACAACTACCTCTTTATAAATTTTCTAACATGTGTTTCAAACACATGTGCGTGAGATTCACACCATTTCGTCTACAACATGTGTTTCACATACATGTGCATGGGATTCATGAGTGTGTGTTTTGGTTGCAAAAATGAGCACTCCGCTTCCTCCTCTACAAGTGTGTATTTTGGTTGAGAAAATGAGCATGTTTGTATATCATTGTTGGGTCATGCCCTATTTTGCATTAATTACACATTGAAACTTGCGATTCCAACATGTATTTGTCCCATGTAGTCAGTAAAGAAACTCTGAAAAGATTGTTAGATCACCACTAGTTTGAAAATTTTGAGTTGTTAGAAAAATAGTCCAACAATATATAACATACTTTTCAACAAAAACTACTCTGCTTTTTAGTGTACTTTATTGGTTTTGTATCTACTGTTTTTTGCCCCCTTTTCAAATCAAGACATGTTTTAAGCTGCAAATAAGTTAGCATGTGGATCTTTCAAAAACTTGAACTAGATATAGCAGGTTGCTTTTTCTTCTGATACTCCTTCAGGTGGTTTGCTCTGCTACAAATGTAATTGAATGTTGATGATATGGTGGGTGATTAGTTTTTTTATACTAGTAATTGTTGCTTTGTTGCAGATGCAACTAGGGTTAGTGATCATACATATGCTAATTTGCTATCAATGAGCTTTAAGTGACAAGTGGAATGGATTACATTAGTGAGCAAGTTCATGGAAAGATTTCAGTCTCTAATTGTAGCATAATCTCAAGCTTTATTAGCACTTTTAGCCATCATAGCATGCACGGAGATTCGCCTAATCATATTTAAGCCACTTTATTTTGTTTTTTAATTAAATAAGTTAAAAAGGTTTTTGTGTTTGTCACACATAAAAATATAATAAATAAATAAACAACAAAAAGTCAACTTTATTTCTTGAAATACTAAGTCAAAAAATTAACTGGTTTTAGCTCAAAAACCTAACAAACAAAAAAACTAATAAAGTTTACCAAAAAACATGACTTAAGACTGATGGATTATACATTTTATTCAAAAAGTGGTGTGTTAAATAACATGATTTGTTTTAGTCTTGATTTATTTGTTGGTTTATATAAGCAGACTTCTATTGAAACCAAAAACACTCTTAAAACAATATGTTGTGTAAATTCGGCATTTTAAGGTTCAAAACTTAAAAGCTATGTTATAACTAACCTAATTATATGCCCTCCAGTAATGTGTGTTACAAATTGCTCCAAATATGTTAGGAAGGTTACAACACGATTGAACCATGTCAAAGCTTTATCTCCTAATCAATTGGGATTGGCTTATATGAATTATTCTCCACCATTCTATTCTTTTTTACCATTCCATTCTGTCGAAGGCCGGCTACATCCTCAGTTAGACTAAAAACTAAACAAAAAATCATGGAATTCATCCATGAGCCAAGATTTGTATGACTTGGTTGTGGTTTAAGTCAAACCTCAAGTGTTAATGCATACCCACATAAACAGATTTATTTTGTAAAAAGTAACCATAAAATCAGATATTTGAATCACTTGAAGCATCCTTGGCATTTCTGATACACAACCTATCTTCACAAACTTTACATAAAAAGCCCTCCTCAAAAGATCCAAATTTGTACTTGATACAAAGCTAATAGTGAAATTTCACAAAGCACATCTGCAGAACGCTACTAACCTTAAAACCGATCTTCACAACACCGACATGAGAGAACACATCTAGATTTGTCTTCATGAAGTTCAAAGCCCGGGTCTTGAAAGCGCCACCGGTTGACAGACTTCGAGAAGTGAGCACTGTTAAGCATCCTCTTTCATTTTTTTTTTCATGGGGGCTTGTACGCCAAGAAGCTTAGACCAACTGTGACCCTTAAACCGGCCAAGAACAACATGAAAACCGAAAAACACTTCAAATAGTCCGTACCCAAAAAGTTGCCGATGTTCACCTTTCTCTGTTTTCTTGAGAAGTATGTTCCTTTCAATGCTGAAGAAGGCATGTTCATGTGAGCATTGGCTTTATTCAAACCAAATCATAAAAAATTTTAGGTGTCCCTATACTTTATGAGATATGATGTGAACTTTCTCTACTTAGCTTCCTCTTGATTGGACAAATTCAGTAGAAAAAAAACAAGTGTAACTGTTCTGAAATGATAAAATACAAGACTAACATATATAAAGAAAAAGAAACTATTAGCCTCAGTTTGGTAACTTTTGTATTTAGAATATTTTGTATGTGTTTACAGAAGTTTTAAAAATTATAAACATAAACTCGTTTGGTGTCAATTTTGTTTTCAAAAAATGTAAAACAATTTACAATATTTACTAAATTATACCAAACAAAAAAGTTGTTTCCATCTATTTTGAAAACAAATTTTTAAGGGGACCACCACCCACACACCCATCACCACCCTGAGCTCCCTCCCTCCACCACCACCAAAAACAACCTCTAGCAAGCCACCACTTTTGGCCACAGGCAACAACCTCTTCTTACTTGTTTCCAAAACAAAATTTTCAAAACATATGTGCATACCAAGCATGTTTAAACTTCTTTTCTTTCTCTTTTTTTTTTTTTTTTTTTTGTGTAAAGAAAAACAAAAAAACATGTGTAT